ACATTATTACAGAGATATTACAGATTTTTTTGCGTTATTACAGCACCGTAATAACGCATTATTACACGGTATTACACAAGTATTACAGGAAGAGTGTACACTTGACTACCTGAGTAAATTCTCCCTCGTTAGGACAGAAGGACAGACCAAGCATTTTATTATTATATAATTATACAAATAAAAGACGAACGATAAATCGGTATGCGTTACGTTACACATGCTTGAAGAGAGAGAAGAGAGAACCTTTGAAGAGAGACGGATTTTTGTAATTCTATGAATTTTTTTTGCAAAATATATTTTTGATATTAACGAACGTAATACAATATTATTTTGAAATAAAAAGCAGAAATGGACATGGCAATTAGTAAGTAGCAATTTATTTATTGAAATAACTCATTAATATTAATAAATGACGTGTATATATGTGTGGTATAAAATAAGCTGCGCACGTGTCAATAATATGAATTATATTCGCAAGTAATATATATATATATATATACATTTATATTTGTTGGGTGCAAAGGTTTCGAAAAGCGTGTATCACTTCCGACACTGTCACAAGAATTATAACTTATTGTGCTTTGTGGTTCTCGTTCGATGATCTCAAATGTCAATGCGCTTGCCGATAATGTCGATATTCATTTGTTGATGTCGATCGAGCGAATCGCGTTCCCGATTATTTAATGACGACCCGTTTACATACAAAGGCGCGTCCGTCCTACGTTGAAACTCAATGCGTTTTGAGAGAGCGAGAGAGAAAGAGACAGATGACTTGAATGTATATAAGGACGTAGCCAATGGCCAGTATTATTGCTACTGCTATGTACATACGCTTCGTCTACCTTGTTTTAGCTAAAACTTGTTTATTGCTCGACACACCCAACAATCACAAGATGCAGACAGTGTGTCGTCTAAAGGAAATAGTAATCATATAATTCTGCGAGTGGGTTTATAATTAGCAATGAAGCCATATTGCAGTATAAAAAAAAGAATATGAAATACCGAGATTTGAGTCATAATTAAATAAAAAGTATATATATTCACTTAACACCGAAAGGAATTTAGCTCATATATTTAAACTTTTTGAGGAACAGATACCTCGATTTTATTGTGCAGACGCAGTACTAAAATCGAACATCAGAAGCACTAATCTTGATTATCAGCTAATTTGTGATTAGGTACAACATCTGAACTTGTGTTTGTACTAAACTTTTTAAAATAAATTTTAAATTAGTCAAATTTACCAAGTATCAATAGTTAAATCAACAAATTTACTTTTAATCATTTACATTGGTAAATAAAATTAGCACTACTTAAAATTTGATTAATACAACTCAAAACAAAATTTAACTAACGAAATATACTTAATTTTATAGCATCATTTTTTTTTGTTGTACTTCTTTTTATAAAAACCTTTGTTTCTGATTGAAAACTATTCCGTTAGAATTTTACATCGTCCCGCGCGCTCTAAATTTGTCAGCGCTATTTCCAGAGCAATGAGAAACTTTCGAGTGTCAAGTGCACGCCTTTGCCAAACAAGAATGTCCGAAAGCCAAAATTTATTCTTTGAAAATTTCAAGCTTATAGAACAAAATGAATAAATTATTTTAAAACTTTTGTTTTCCTTTAAATGTTTTCCCTAAAATATTTATTTGATCCTTTAATGAAACATCTAATAAACTTATTACTTATATAGAAATAGAGAGAAAATATGACAAATACATTCCAGTTGTAAAAAGAAGGCTTTTATATTTTTCAAATCCAATGAAAAATGTACTGTTGTACTTTCTATGTAAGGGAACAAAGAAAAGGTTGTTGTTACACGAGTAGTACAAAGTGATGCTATTGTTAGCAGAGATTATGTTATACCTTTATGTATGTTGATAGTTTAACATAAATGTTTCTCGTCGGTTTTCTTTTTTTTTTTTTTTACAATTTCCATGTAGACATTATGTATTCACACCTTTCATTCTAGAAATTTTTTTTTATGTTTGTGATGAACAAAAAAACGTTTATTAGGTATACACCTTCTTCTTCTGTGCTCGTCTGTAGTTCATTATCATAAAGTTTACCTCCATTACTATAACGCTATAACTGCTTCTAAATCGCTCAGAAAACAAATTATATCTAAGACTATTTTTCTCTTTCTTTCCTTCTTAAAATATTTAAATGGGGCAATTTTTTTCGAGAAACAATAGTAGTCTTTAATTACAAATACCTAATTGATCCAATTTACAAAATTTATAAAATACATTTCTTTTTATTGACAATTCTCAAAATAATAAAAACATATATGGAAAAATTTATTCGAAAAATATGAATAAAAGTACTCTCTAAATCTGAATTAGTTAAAAATAACTAATTAATAGTAGAATCTTACTAATTCAAAAAGCAAAAAGTGAGTCACTAATAATTAGTAAAAACTTACTAATTCAAATAGTTATTTTGGTTTAACTAATTCAATTAGTAACTTTTTAATGCGGCTCCCGGGGGCGCAAATTACTAATTGATTAGTTAAAACTACTAATTGTTTACTAATTCATTAGTCATTATACAATTTTAACGCCAAATCGTAAATAATCAATAAAAATTTATCAACTTATTCATACTAAAATTTAAAATTTGAAAAGTCGAGTTTCAAAGATAAAATTTTTCGCATGTAGTTTCTTCATGATTGTATAAAAAATATTTTATTTTTAAAAGTCAGTTTTCATGGGTTAAATTGCATAATATTGGCAAAATTCATATAAAATTTTTTACGTTCTGGTGGTTCATTTGATATATTATTTCCGATTTTTTTTGAGTAAAGATTTTATTAAAATTTTCACTTTATAGTAATTTATTAATTTACTTAAAGACAGTTTAGATACACATACATAGTTACTTTTGGTGAAATAAAATTAATAAAAAAATTTTAAAGGTTAGTTTATATCAAAAAATTTTTTTAAAAATAAATAATTTCAAAAGTAATATTTAAAGCACCAAACAAAATATTTTGAACATAGTACAAGCTATAGTATCACATAATACTTCAAAAAAACAGAACAATAATTTAAAAATAATAAATGCTTTCAAAAGTAGTATTTTAAGCATCAAAAAAAGTATTTTGAATAGAGTACAAGCTATAGTATCACATAATACTAAAAAAAATAAAAAAATATTTTTAAAAAAAACCCATGGAAGATGACATACGTCATGAAAATAATAGAGGTTACGTTCAACTGACTAATTCATTTAGTAACTCGGGTGTAATAACTAATAGAGTTAGTTAATTTGATTACTATTTTAAATTAGTAATGTTCAAATACTAATTTTTTACTATTTTATTAGTAAAACTTCCAAAAATAACTAATTCATTAATAGAAATTTAATTTACTAAATGAAGTAGTTAATTTTTTACTAATTCAGATTTAGAGAGTACGTAAGAAAGTATTTTTTTGAACGTACTTTGCGGCTTATAAACTCGTTATAAGGCTTTCAAAAAAAAAAAAAAATTATAGAGTGAAAACAGTTATCAAGATATCTTCATTCGTGTATTGCTCGTAAATATGTATAGACCCTTTCCTCTCTCGACAGGCTAGAAAAAATACAAATAGACATTCAAGTACTTGAATATATATGTGTGTGTGTTGGAATCGCCAACTGTGTCTGTCAAATTGATCTTCTCACTCGTATGGCAATAAATTCAAATTAATAACTAAAGTCATATTTATTTATTTAGTTCCCCCGCGCTTCAATCGAACTTTAATTATTATATATATTAATCTTTGAATTATGGCACGTCGATTAATGATTAATTGAAAATATAAAACAGCTCATTGGAAAAATATGTCGTACAACTATTTTATATATATATATAAATTAAGATCTCTCGTATAGTTTTCTTAAGCGACTCGCTGACGACGATCGACGTCGATTTTTATTCCTTTGAACAAGACCAATTGACGAATTGACCTCGCGTGAACCCCCGCGGTTATTCAACCGTTTTCTTCTCTTCCACCTCGCACACTGTTAGTTGAGGATTTCATATATTATATATATATATATACATAAAGCCTCTTATGTAATGACTTGACTTAAATGGACACATTTTCTGATATCGCGTGAGCGTTATCTAATTGGATTTTCCATAGAAAGTTTTATTTCTTTTTTTTATTGTCAATTTTGATCAGTGGGCGAATTTTATATTCGGAGGAAAATTATTCAAATTTTTATCTTTTCTATTTTCAACATTAATTTTATTGATTAATGAAAAGAAGTTACAAAAAAATATATATTTTTTTAAAAAAACTTTATAGAGGTTGTTTATTCAAAATATTGTATTGCAGGGCTGCAATTATTTAAATGAATGTGATTTAAATTATAATTGAAATAATTTAAATTATACGATTTAAATCAAAGTGTAATTTACGCAATAAAAGAGTCTATAATAATAAATTTTTTTTAATATTATTTAAAAATTTATATTTATTATACTCAATTTTGTTTACTGGGAAAAAAAATTACTTGAAACAATACCAAACATTGGTTGAATTAACCAAATTAATATGTAATAAACAGTTAAACAAATTTTTGATTAAACCAAAAGTTTATTTGACTAAATCAAATTATTATTTCTTTGTTCGAAAAATTTGTTAAAATAGACCAAATAAAAATATATTTTCAAAAATTAAAAATATTTTTATTAAAAAAAAATCTTAAGTTAATAGAACATTTATAAACGTTAGCGATTTATTTCTTTAATAAATTTTATTAGAATTATAATTATACGTTTCAAAAATTAAAACATTTTCGTTTTAATAATTTTATTTGAAATATTTATAAATTCTGATATATTTTCAAAAAAAAAAAAGTTACAGTTATACAAATTTTATTACTGAAATATTTACTTTTTTTTTTTTTTTTTTCTTTTCAAATCAGTGAATATCTGTCGTATTTGAGAATTTTGACTGATTGCTTCATCAGGGAAATTTTTATAATTAAAGTGCTTTCTTTTTCAGCCTGAGTGAATGCTATTTCGCGGGCAAGGGTGCGGCCTTGGTTTTACCGCCAAACGAGAGAGCACGGCCCTCCCGTCGTGTTTCGGCCGCAGGATGCGACATTCAACAGCATCTTCAGTCAATGTTTTATCTCCTGAGACCAGAGGAGACTTTAAAAATGGTAAGTCATATGTGTAATAATTCTTACTTTTAAAATTATTCCCCCAATATAAGTAGAAATATTAAAAAAATAAATTCTTTCACAGAAGTTTAACCCTTTAAGGACCAAATGTACAAAAATTTTGCCTAAAGTTTGGCAATTTTTTAAACCAACTAAACGCATTAAGAAAAAATTCGCAATATACGTTTCTTATGGTCCAGAAACCGCTCTTTCAAGTGGTGCATCTAAAAAAACCGTAAATTTAAAATTAAACAAATTACAGATAATTATTTATAAAAAAATATTAATTTTCAAGGTTATTTTTTTTTCTTAAGAATTTTTTTGGGCAATGTACCATTTTAAAATATTATCTTCCCGAGGTACGAATATCGCGTCAAAAATGTTCAACCTTTGACATGGTGGCATAGATTTAAAAAAAACTACTAAATGTCCAAATAATATTGTTAATTAAAGTTGAGATTTTAATAACAAATACGCAGCTATTGTCAAATAATTTTAAAACTCATCGGATCCACTCGAAAATCGTTACAGAGGAGGTTTTTGGGGTCGCTGATTACGAATCTGAAATCGATTTTCAAAAAATCAAAATGGCGGATCCAATATGGCGGACGAAAAATTAAAAATTCATCGAATTCACTCGAAAATCGTTACTCGGGGGTTTTTGGGGTCGCTGATTACAAATCTGAAATCGATTGTCAAAAATTCAAAATAGCGGAACCAATATGGCGGACGAAAAATTAAAAATTCATCAGATTCACTCGAAAATCGTTACTCGGGGGTTCTCTTTTCGAGTGAATCCGATGAATTTTTAATTTTGACGTCTGCCATATTGGTTCCGCCATTTTGATTTTTTGAAAATCTATTTCAGATTCGTAATCAGCGACCCCGAAAACCCCCTCTGTAACGCTTTTCGAGTGGATCCGATGAGTTTTAAAATTATTTGACAATAGCTGCATATTTGTTATTAAAATCTCAACTTTAATAAACAATATTATTTAGACATTTAGTTGTTTTTTTTTTTTAAATCTATGCCACCATGTCAAAAGTTGAACATTTTTGACGCGATATTTGTACCTCGGGAAGATATTTTAAAATGGTACATTGCCCAAAAAAATTCGTAAGTAAAAAAAAAACCTTGAAAATTCATGTTTTTTTATAAATAATTATCTGTAATTTGTTTAATTTTAAATTTACGGTTTTTTTAGATGCACCACTTGAAAGAGCGGTTCCTGAAACATAAGACACGTATATTGCGAATTTTTTCTTAATGCGTTTAGTTGGTTTAAAAAATTGTCAAACTTTAGGCAAAATTTTTGTACATTTGGTCCTTAAAGGGTTAATAGAAAAGATACACTTGTATTTTGGTTCCGTGGTTAACGTTCCGACTTGCCAGCGTTAAGGTTGTGCGTTCTATTTCTGGCGTTTGTAAATTTTTTTTTTTACGCATTCAAAAAATCTGTTGTTCATGAACATTGAAAATCTTCTATTATATTAAGTTAACAAATTTCGAAAAACGACACCGACCTCGTGACCTCGACACCGTCCTTGAAAAATCTATTTTCAATTATTTTCAAATAAATCAAAATACTTTGCATATATGCTTTTAGAAAATCTTACAAACTATTTTTATGTAACATCTTTTTTCAATTTTAACCCGAAAAAGGGTTATTTTGCAATTTTTTAAGAATTTTTTGATTTTTTCAATTTTTTATTATTATTTTTTATTATTTATTGTTGTTTTTTCAATTTTTAGTTAGTAACCTATAATATTGTGTCTAATTTTAAGTGTCATTAAAATCAAATGTTTTTAACTTAATAATTTTAACATTTCTTAATTTAAAACGAAACATCTTCTATTATATTAAGTTAACAAATTTCGAAAAAAATAACTTTTAGTCTTGTTCCATTACAAAGACCTCTTTCTAAATTAATATTCCTTAAAAGTATCACAATTGCACCAATCTTTAATATTAATTTGTGAGGAGGAAGTCCATTTGGAGTTAAACTATTTAATACTTCAATTGGTATTAAGTTAGTTATTGTGTCACACTTTTCATCTTCTTCAGATGAATCTATACTTAAATATTCTCTAGGTTCACCTGTCATTCGTTTAACAACATCATTATTTAATTCAAATACATCATTATTCCGGAGAACTAGTAATATATGTAAAATCAAACAAGAATCTCTTTATAACGGTTTACTATAGATAATAAAAATAAAAACCGATATTTTAAAAAGTATTTCGATTTATTACGAATATTTTTCTCAAAAATTTGCAAAATCTACATGTGTTTGTGGGACAATTTACATCAATATAATATAATATAATATAATTTAAGATAAAAAAAATATATTATAATATAATATAATTAATATTGTTGTCATAATTATAATAAAAAATATCTAATATTTAACAATTGTCATTTCATTCTTCAATGAAACTGATCAAAATTAAGATAAATTTTATACAATATTAATAAGATATTAATTTAAAACATAAATTATATATATAATATACATAAACTACAATAAGTAAACAACAATAAGTACAATTTTAACCGAGCGTGCGTTAGCGAGCGAGGAATACATCGCTAATTTGATATTAATGAAAAGAGAGACGGTTTTTAGAATGAATATAGTGTTTGGCATTTATATGAGTAAAAATTTCCATTTTGAGAATTAAAAATAATGTATTAATTATTATAGTATGAGACTAAAGAGCCAAGAAGTAAGCATAATTGCCGCAGAACTCATATCACATGAGTATCATTTGCATCTCCTTCAATTTTGTATAGTCAGGCCTCTTTGACAGGAGAATTGCCAATTGTCAGTTGTGAAATCGTTAACTTAGCTTAAATGATCCGCGTCACGAAATGGCCTTCGAGTTCATGTAGTTGCTAATCACTTGCTTGCAATTAGAAAGTAAAAACATAAAACATCGAATCGTAAATTGGAAATGAACTGACATACCTCCATTACAGATTTCTATAAGTGTAACAGGTGTTCTTTGATACTTAACAGCATCACATTCCGTTATAAGTATTCATATAATTTTTCAGCTATCAGGTATTTTTTCCGCATTAAATTAATTTTGATTATAACATCTATAAATTTCAAATTTTATATTATAAGATATTGTAGAGTAAATGTTAAGAAAATGTATATATATAAAACTATAAAAATTCTTTTATATCTAATATAATTTCCACTAATTTTTTAATAAAAATTACTATTTGATTTGGTAATAATTTTTTATTAAGAAAAAGTAAAAAAAAAAATTACATGGATAAACTTTTTTTAAAAATAGCATCACTATTTATGACATCACTTTCATATCTGGTAAAATTAATTTTAATGTTTTTTTTTTTTTTTGTAAAATTGAGTAAGTGCCAGAATATTTCTATGTGTATGTATGTAAAAAGTAAGCGTATAAACGTAGAAAGCAAAATGATTTATTAATATAAACTTATACATGAAATGCTGTCCAATTTCATGTAAAATTTGAAATGCATTTCCGGTAAATTAACTAAAGAAAACAAATTTATTATAAAGAAATAGTTTGAAAATACAATTTTTATTTTTTAAAATTAGACTTTAATGTTGCGAGTTTAAGTTTAGAATATATTATTATAAATAGAGAATAAGAATTGATGATGAGTGCATTTGATGGACATAAAAGTAAGCTATATACAAAACGTCGACCTACTTGTGCGTGAGGCATGGGCAATCGTGATAAAGATGACGTATGTCACGATTGTTCTTATATATACCAGGCAAAGAGGTCGAGACCAAAGAAAGTTCATGACTTCCAGTCCAAGTTTGTTTGACGCATCGCGCCATATGAATTGCAAAGTATCCGCTGACATTGTTTTATTATAGCATTTATTCAAAATATTCCCGTTCAGAATCATTTTTTGCTTCGCACAGTTTTCTTGTATGTATCAAATTATTGATATTGTGAATATACCCTAACCTTTATTTATATTCGTCACACACGTGTAATTTCTAATTATACACAGGTTTACAAATTCGGGTCAACTTTTGGACCCAGAAAGGCAAGAGCGTTTCATAACGTATTTTTTTTATGCTGAATTCGAATCCACTATTAGATTTTCCGTATTACATCAGATTTTTAAAATTCAAAATGGCGGATCCAATATGGCGGATGACAAAAATAAAAATTAGTTGGATTTGCTTGTAACTTGTTATTTGGGAGGTTTTTGAGGTCGCTGATTACGAATTTGCCATCAGATTTCAAAAATTCAAAATGGCGGATCCAATATGGAGGAAATTTTTTTTAAATTGATCGGATTTGCTTAAAACTCGTTTAAAAATGTGATGTCAAATTCGTAATCAGCAACAACCTCAAAAACCCCCTAAGTAACAAGTTTTAAGCAAGTTCAATTAATTTTTAATTTTATCATCCGTTAAATTGGATCCTCCATTTAAAATTTTTAATATCTAATGTCAGATTCGTCATCAGCGACTTCAAAAACCCCTATGTTACGTGTTTCAAGCAAATCCGATCAATTTTTAAATTTCTGTCCGCCATTTTGAATTTTAAAAATCTGAATTCATATTTGTAATCAGCGACCCCAGAAACCTTGAACAAAAATTATGACTTTTTTTTATAAGTAATATAGTTTAATTAACAATAACAATTTTGTTAAAAGCATCAAAAAATTTAAAATTGCAATTATCTCAAAAACCTGACGTGTAGTAAAAAAACGGACTGTGGATTTGAATTCAGCGTTAAAATTTACTTTAGGAACAGGTCTTCGTTACTCGGGTCCAAAACTGTGTATTCCTGTGTTATTTTTATGATACAAATGATTATTAACAATTTAATTATAAATAAAGAAAATTTAAACATTGTTCTTGATAAATATTTGCGTTATCAATAATTTTCTGTCACACAATACAATCTTAAGGCGGTTCCAGAATAGGTGCAAAAGCCAAATACAAGTGCAAGTCCAAATGCAAATCCCATGAGTGCA